TGTGCAGTTGTTTTTCCCTTTGATGAAATAACCCTGTATCCATAACCAAAACAAATAGTTTTCTGCTCATTTTCTCGTTTCTCTTCTTTCAGCCCTTCTTGCTTTTTAGGCATTGTGTTGTACAAATCTAAAGTAATGGAACATAGAAATAATATCTTGCTTATTGTTAATTTGCTAAACTCAACCCGCATTCATCATGAAAGAAGGCATCCAGAGAGAAGACCAACAGTGAAACTGGACAGGAAAAAATTTCCAAATCCTGAAAAGCTTCGATTATTCTTTTGTGTCCTGTTTCAATTCAAATCAAAAAGAAAACCATCAGACTTCTCCACAAAGACCAGGTGGCATTAATGAAGTTTATTATGTGTGGTAGTGTCCACAGGAGGCCTCATGTCCAACAACTCATGGTGCTGTCTCCAGCACAAACACAACATTAAAAGCTAATTGCAGACCCAAGAGCCTCACGTGCCTTTTGAAGGTAAGACAAGAGATGGAAATAGAGGAGAGAGAGCAAGGGCACAACAGGACAGTAGTGGTCAAAACAAAAAGCACTAGTTTTAACTTCTGATTACAGAGAATATTTCCTGGGAACAGTTAATAGCCAAATGGTCAACACATTTCATTGGGATAAAAGAATCCATATGCAAGTCCTGGATGTTTGGTTCAAGTCGCTCACAAACACATCTCACATTTCACCAGAGTATTTTGTACCTTGGGCAATAATCAGAATGTTGAAATCTACGAGTTTTCTGAAAACTCTGGTTTTGAGGAGCCAATCTTTTCTGGGGAAGAATCATTTTACCTGAAAGCGATGAGAAAGCTTTTGGATATTTGCTTCTTAGAGAAAGTAAGTCATTAGTAAATTACAGGATAAACCTCATAAACAAAGAATATTTATATTAGCAAATTTCAGAAAGTCCTTTTTTTTTTTATGCAGACCCAGCTTGGGCAAAATAGCAAACCTTCTGGTAATAAACACAAAAAGGAAACCATAGAAAACACTGATGATTAATATTTTCCATAAAGTCTAACCTTTCCTAAAATGTTAAAGCAGTGTATGGTATGCGCACCAGAAATGTAGTAAGTACTGTAAACATCATTAAGGTAGCAATAAAAACATGCAGAAATATTGTAAGAATGCTTTCTCTAATATAATTTTAAATAAATTCCTAACACATTAATGCCTCCAATTATGGCAACAGAGATACTAAAGCAAATTTGAATTTGGCCTAGTATCTCTTTATCTGTTAATTACAACATGTATTTGCTTTCCTAGGAGATTGCATTCGATACTTCTATTCCAAAATAATTACGTGCTATTCACAGTCCCTTAATTCATGTGGGTAAAAGCTGGTAACCTTGTGGTCATGGTACACGTATCTTTGGTACATGTATCTTTGGTACATGTATCTTTGGCAGAGACCAGTCCAAAGCAATGAAATGAAGCCAGAACCAGTTGGGCCAACACCCGTCTCAGCAACTTGCAAGATAAATGCAAGATGTGTGTCTTTGACTTTTCCCTCTGAAAAGTGTAGAGTGACAGATACATCTGAAACAACAAACTGCAGAAGTCTCCACCAAGGCAAGACACTTCATTACATATACTTCCTTCTCCCCTTTTGATGCCAACGTAAGAGTAAATGTGTGAAATACTTAAAACCCTACAGGAGGGCACTCAGGTGCTGTTGTTGAAAAGTGTAGGAGAGTCTGTACAGAATAGATGCAATGGGAATCCCTCCAGAATTATTAAACCACCTTCCTGTTTCTTCCATGCAACTTGGAAAGGAAAGTGGCAGTTCCAATATTTCCTATTTTTATAGTTATTTATATTGTCTATACATTCAAGCCCTCCTCAGCAACCAGGTCACACAAATAAGCACTGGGCAAAGAAAAGTCTTAGATGTAGTGTTGTACACCAAGATCTGGATCCTTTTATTTCATTACTCTTCATCATGGTAGGGAGTCTTTACTGTAAAGGAAAATCAGGCTATTTCCAGACTAGGATTAAATCTAAGTACTGGCCACCACCTAAAAGCAGTGAGCGCATTGATGGGTGTTCTCTTTGGGAGCGAAGATGCTGGTGATTCCCCTGGGAGGCTTCTATCCCCCAGTCAAAACCAAGCAGGGTCTGTGGGATGTACTGGTGGGTGACGGGTACCCCAGCACTAACGGAGGCACTGGCACTGCTGGATGGTATCTGGCTCTCAGCTCTTGGAAGTGTCTTGGAAAAATCATACCAAGGGAGCAATAGATGAGGACTGTGAGAGTCTCTGCAGAAAAAATATTTTATAAAACAAAAAAAAGGGTTGCATTAGTAATTTACGTGGCTGAGCTTACTCTAACTGCAGTTGGGCAAATATGCTTTTCCTAAGCATCTGTTCACTGAATGCTGTCAGAAACAGGAGACAGGGTTGGACTGTGCTTTGGTCAACCCAACATGGCAGCTATTTCTTTCTGATAAAGCTCTCAACATCTGATCCAGCCTATGACTCATTTTAAAAACCAGACACTGCAATACTGGGCTCTACAGAAACACTTGAGAGTGATACAAATAATGCAATTACACAGGGATATGAGTTAATTATCTGCACCATAGTAAAATCACCATGTTGCTGCTATCTGTTATTTCTGCAGTAACTTATTCCTTGTACAACAGTGGCAACCTACTATGACAGATGAGGAAGAAAGACCTGAAATTAAATTGAAAGAAAAAAAACAAATAAGCTACAAAAGTAAGAGCATTTGTACTTGTCCAGTACTATATTGTCTTCATTTCTTCTCCTCTGCCACATTTCCACTGACACAAGGACGTAATTTACAATGTCAAGGAAATCCATGTCTGTCTGTGCTGAATTACAGCATTCATATTTCTACTTGTTTGTAGTGAACTAAAGTCATAATAAGCCCAGCCAGGCAGATGAGTCATACGGCCCATCTTTCATTTAACAAGGCATCTTTAAATACCACTCTTACTTAACTTGTACTCATTAACATCAAGAAGTGATGTTTTGTGCCATACTACCCTAATTGCCAGAAATTCGCACAAGTGAATCATTAAAAGGTTAAGATATTTTTCATGCTAAATATAATGTACAGTATTAATCTGCTTTATTTTGTTATTATGAGTAATGCGATGTCCTAGAGTTGTATCAATTTATAATTATGCCAGATCACATGGCAGGGGGGAAACAAGAACAACAAACAACAGACGGATGTAATTTCTGCTTAAATTCTCCATGCAAATTACAAATTCATGTCAAGTTAGACTGTGGTTTCTTCACAAAGCACACCATCCAGATGGAATCACAACAGCACAGCAAAAATCGAGACACATCTTTGTCAGTTTAAAAGCAAAGTAACCAAATATCCTTCAAACAACACCCAGATCTGTTTTATATTTTCCTATTTGATCCTTCAGCCTACTTTTTGGTATTAATTCTGAATATAAATACTGGGGACAACACTGAAATACAGGATTTTTGGAAAAAGATGAGAACTGGATAAGACAATTTCACGTGTTGCTGACAATTCTAAGACCATAGGATGGAGCTGACTTTCCAAGACGGAAATGGGTGTTCTTCTCAAAAGCTGCAGAGGTGATACACTCCTCACAAGCAGCATGCACCAGGCACAAGACATCTGCTTTGTCCCTTCCAGCTCTTCTGAAATGCACTGCTGTAAATGAGAAGCATCTCTTTTCTTCGCTATGTATTTCAGAACATTTCATGCTAGTTTAATTCTGCTGAACACCAGAGTACCCATGGTAAATCCGGAGCCATTAATACTTGCTAAACTGCAATCTGGCACCTCCCTGAATCTGAAAAAGCAAACTCCTATGTTCCTCTTCCAAGTGAGAGTGCTGAGCTATCTCTATAATGTGGAAGTATAAAGGAAGTATAAAACACATTATGCATGGGTAGTTAAACACAGTTCTTAGTAATGGTAAACAAGTTAGTGGGAAATAATTGACCATTCCTCAATTAGCCACAAAACCAAAACCACTGTGATGCTATCTCTGACCACTCTTTTGAAGATGAAAATTGATTTAGTCTTGTTCAAAACAGTGAGGTTGATTCAACGTGAAACTTTCATATATTTGTTCTGTTAGGCTGTTTACCACTAAAAATTTATTTTAGGAATTTATTGCTTTCTTCTAAGTCTGCTTGCCTACTATCATACAGCAGGTGACTTCCTAAACACATTCTTAATCATCTTGTATCTTTGTCTCATATATACCAACCATCATTAAGAGTAAATACTACTACACTGGGGAACAGATTAAAATATAACTACTTAAGCTTAGTTATGCAGGTACAGTATAAATTTTCTGGGGAAAAAAATACATATTCCAAAGACTTAAAAAAGTTTTATGCAACTGTCCTTTATGTCTTGCTGTACTTTGAAAATGCTGTTGTTCACAGATGGATCAGATGTGATAATATACAATATTCTTACCCTGATAACCAGCCACAGAGTTTGCCTCATAAGAAATCAAGCACTTAAAATATTCCAGATCCCATAAAATTAATAATTGACATAGAGTATTTTAGATTAGACACCATTAAAGTTAAGATTGCAAAGATTTTTCTTTGTATTATTTCATGTTTTACATTGTAAAATATTATGAGAAAATGCAATGAAGCAGAAATATGTAAGCCAAACAAAATTTATTTATATTACCAACACATGTGGAGCATTCCTCATTCATCCCCAGAAAGCTAGCTATGCTTGAAAGCTATGGCAGCTATCATCATGAAATAGCTGTTTCAGAAGTTTTGTGATAGAATATGTTAAGTCAAATGAAACGTGTATGCATGTACACGTCACATTATGTTAAATGTAAAATGAAGTTTACATTTATGATAGAAGACAGAAAACATACTCTCAGGCAGATCTGGAATCACTATTTCCAGTCAGATATTAAACTGAACATTCTGACAAAAATAATGAACTATAGAAAAAAGGTACTGTCAAGCAAATCATCTGAAGACACTACTTACCTTGTGCAACTGGTAGTATTGCTCAGCACCTACTCCTCCTTGTTCTTCTCCTGTCCATAGCACCATGCGCAGAGTTCTTTTTGGACGAAGTCCTAAAATATAATTTTAAATGTTTTTAGTACTAAGTATTTGCTTATTTGAGCATTTGTCTGCATTTGTCACCATTTCCCAATTGCAGAAAAGCCTGTTTCCATTCAGTCATGTCTAACTTCAACGAATGCAACCTACTTCTACTGTTGGTTTTGTTGTCTACAGTATTTGGGTTTGTTTTTGGGAAGGGCTGGGGTGCAAGGAGAGAGGCCATAAGAGAAAGGGGCAGTTTGTTGTTGTGCTGTTACCAGGCCTCTGATGCAGTAGCAGAGGAAGAGCAAATCTGGGGGACACAACGTAGGTGACCACAAAACATAACATAAAATAACTACCTTGGTAGGTTTCTGATACATATGCTGCCATCCTAATGGTCTGCAGTAAATAATGTGTGTATGCTTTCAGCAGATCCAAATGCAGTTTTCATGAGAATTATTATTTTTCTTGTCATGCTTAATTTATTACAATTAATTGGAAATGAACTACTCGATTTTTATGAGAAATGCTTCCCCTTTCCAGGAACTGAGAGGCACTAGAGTATTATTATTTTTTTTAATCAGACCAATGAAAAGAGACAATCTGTACTCTGGAATCTGAAATACAACTGCCTGCTGAATATATGCAAAGCTTTTTAAAACACAGCAAACACAAGGCCACTCTGTGTTTTGTTACAATAGCTCAGTAAGAAAGATAAGTTCTCAGATACATTTTGAAACTGTGTCTGCTATGGCAGAAGCAAACAGATAGATGTTGTTGCCCTTTATTTATTTGATTGATTGTACTCATAAACAAATACATCTGAGACATCAAATCTGAGAGCACTGAAGAGCAAGCAGAGAAGAATAAACAGTGCTTTCTGTACAGTGTAAAGCTAATTATGTTTCAGCAAAAATAACCTCCTCTAAACTATTAGAAAGAAAATAAGCCAGATAGGAGAATATAGCAAACACTAAAGCATAAATGACCCCACACACCTCTGTACTGAGGAGAAATAATATCAGTATCACTGTCAAAACTGAATTAATTTCCTAGCTGAAATGGATGAAGTCTACAAATAGACATGACCTTCATTAATTTTTTCCCTCAACCCAAAGAAAATCAACCCAAAGAAAATCAACCAAAGGTTTCCTTCTAGAAATCACATTAGCAATCCTAATAACTGAAGACAGAGTGTAGAAGTTATATTCAGAATCTGAAAAACAAACAACACCTTGGCTCGTCCATTATTTCATAATGAAAGAAGCACAAAGAATAGAATCAAGGGATTAAAAAGTGTATTTTCTAAATGTTGACCTGCTGTCTGTAAACAGACAGGTCATCAGCTCTCATTACTTTAAAAACAGTTCTTCCCCCTTCTCCCCCCCTCTATCCCAGTGGATTTCCTGCTCTTCTCCTAAATCACTACAGCACAGGATTAGCCTCCTTCGCATTTCAAATCAGCCAGATGGCCAATGAGAGAAAATGAAGATACTAAAATAGTAATCATGTTGACGTGAGGAAGATTTTAGGCACAAAATAACCACAGATGTGTCAGTGGCTCCATTACAAGAGGTGGCTCGCTATTTGCAGCTTTAGCAGTGAACACAGGTGCCAGCAAAAGGCTGTTTGTCCTAGCACAAAACACAAAGCACTGAAGCCCAGCCTCCAGCCCACTACACCAAGGCTACCTAAGGGGCTTGGATAGGAGATGTTTGAGACAGGGGAGCAGCATCTTCTGCCTCCTTCCAGCCATGGGAGATGAAGTGCTGCTAGTCTGAAAATAAAGATGCTGCTGTCCAACAGGGAACTTGGATGTGCTCAGCCTGGTTGCTCTCTCTTGCTCTGCCAGAGCTTGGTAAGGTCTCAGATCACTTACATGGAAGAATTTTGAGGTCCATACGGCCCCTTTGTAGCTGGTCATTGCATCTTTCCACTAAAATGGATGGGAGAGAAAGCCCTGCTGAGCTTTGCAATTTCTGTGAGCAGATTCACCTGCGTGTTCTACTGAAATTAAATACGAAATACGAAAAGAAGAAGAAAAGAAGTCATAAAGTCTAGAGGCATTTATTTTAAAAACAAAACAAAGTATACAGAGGAAAATCTAATTTCCTCATTATCTTGAAGTGATAAGAGTTTATCTACCTGTTATTAAAAACACAGCTGTTCTGAGCAAAGTACATCAAATAAATCCAATATTCACAAGTAAAATTGCCAAGAATATTCTCAATGCATGCCTTTATTAAAAACATGAACTACTATACTTAAGCTACAACTTTTTCTTTTTTTTTTTTAATTAAAATTACCAATTTTGGATTGTTTCTCAAAATCCACTGGTTCATAAAGAACAAAACACTGCCACAAAATCTTGCAGATCACAGCCCAAATGCATACTGAAAAGACATGATAAAATAACAGTTGGGCTAGGAAACTGTGTTCTGTGATGAGTGTCTCATGTAGAGGGGCGTGTAGCAAATTTTAAAATTAAGGAAAACTGTTTCAAAACAAAACAGTGCCTCCCCCTTTTGAAATATTATATATTCTAAAGCAGAAGACAGAAGATTTTTTTTCAACTTACCCAGAATATTTAAATACATAGATTGTTTTGGAAAAGTGCAGTAGGTTATAACTGTATTCACTGGTGCATCAGTGCAAGGAGCCTACTGTGCCCTTCCTGGGTCAATCAGATCTGAAATTAAGTAAATCAAGTGGAAGTTGCAGAGCTCAACAGCTACTCAAAAACACACAAATCCTACAGCTTCCATCCTATTGCAGCATCCCAGTAAAAAGAATAGCAGGGACTTTACAGGGGGATAAACTTCTAAAGGTGATAGTTGGTACTCAGATTATTCTTTCTAAACTCAAATAACTGAGACCAAAACCAACGCATCTATAGATCATCCTCCATCTACAGAATAATTTACAAATCTACATATTTCCAATATTTAAAAAAAAATAGGCAGTTTTTTTTTTTCTCTACATTACCCTTAACTGAGAAATGTAGTCATAGTATAGCACAAAGGTGTGTTTTACTGATCAGCCTCTGCACTCCTATGGCTTATCCCAAATGAAAGATATACTGTGGTGCACCTGGGCTCCCAAGTTAAAGGATGAAATGAAAACATTTATCCCAGGCTACTTCTGCATTATACACCCTCAGTGCTGCAGTAGCTGCTTGCGTGTTTTCACTGTCTCCAGGTGCTGTACTTCACGACTGCTTGACCACTTCAGTCATACTTTGATGCAGCTCTTATCGATTCGATATTCTGTTTCTTCTAAATTATGCTGAAGTGCTCAGACTTGCAGATGTCAGCAGCAAGCTTAGGTTAGCCAAAAAACGCAAATGCTTGAGAAAAAACGGATTTGTAATTGTAGTAGAAAAGAGGTATTAACTAAGAAGTATGACGTCAACTGTCAGCTACAATAAAGTACTTTGCCAAAAGCCTTTCCTTCATACTTTACATAAGAGGTAATTACCAGCAAATGACATAGAAGTGCATATATATGTGTGTGTACACATGTATGTACATAAATACATGTGTATACACGTATATATATACACATTTTACATTAATTTTAAATCTAAAATGGGTATTTTCAAGGCATGATTGTGTTGATTTAATCCATGTAAGTTTGTACAACAGTGGATGATCTCCCTGTGATAAGGTACTTACCAGGACAGTATGCAAAACTTTTAATTTTATATTTTACACATCTTGCTCCTGCTTGAGAGATTCCCACACAGCAAAATTGAAATGTATCATCTGGTATTAGCATATATAAATTATGATAATCTGTCACATATTATGGAAAAAATAAATAAATGTGCTCCACCCTCATGATAGCACATAAACCACGAGGGAGAACTCGAACTGTGTCTTTTTTAATCAAAATAAAGATCGGTATTGTTAATACTGAATTTCCTTTAGTAAATATTTTTCCACTTTATAAACCCAAATTCTTACTGATGGGGAGGATTAAGTATGAAGACACGGTGTTTTCTAAGAAGACAGTGTATGATAGCTGATCAGACTTCAAGAGAAGCCATCACGTTGTTGTAATACTGATCATCTTTTGAAAATATAGTGAAACAAAGGATTTTTTTACTCTGCAAACCAAGACGCTGGTATCACCCACAAAACAAATCAAATACCTGTTCAGCTTACAAGAGGCATATTAGCATGCTGCAAATGGATGTGCATTGTCCTAGAGTGCCTCAAGCTCAGCACCGCCAGCGGGTTGAGGAAAGGGATTGTCCTGCTTTGCTCTGTGCTGGTGCAGTCTCATCTTGGGCACTGTGTGCAGTTTTGGGAGTCACAATATAAGGACATAAAACTATTAGGGAGTGTCCAAAGGAGGGCTACAGAGATGGTGAAGGGTCTAGAAGGCAAGATGTGTGAGGAGTGGCTGAGGTCCCTGGGTTTGCTCAGCCCCGAGCAGAGCAGGCTGAGGGGAGGCCTCATGGCGGCCTGCAGCTCCCTCATGAGGGGAGCGGAGGGGCAGGCGCTGAGCTCTGCTCTCTGGGGACAGCGACAGGACCCGAGGGAACGGCATGGAGCTGGGACAGGGGAGGGTCAGGCTGGGGGTTAGGGAAAGGTTCTACACCCAGAGGGGGGTCGGGCACTGGGACAGGCTCCCCGGTCATCACAGCACTGAGCCTGATGGAGATCAAGGAGTGTTCGGACAATGCTGTCAGACATAGGGTCTGATTTTTGGGGTTGTCCTGTGTGGAGCCAGGAGTTGGACTTGATGATCCTTGCGGGCCCTATATACTATGATTCTATGTGACAAACAGGTAAAACATTTTAACTTGCATTTATACAGTATTCAGTGATAAAATATACATCACGTGCTGCCAGCAGGATATGGCTGTACATAGGAAAGCAGGCTATGCCTGTACATGCATGCCTACACTATTTTTTGTTATTTTGAATTTCTAGAACCTATTCCTATTTCTTTGATATATGAGCTGCATTTATTTCCCACCCCTAATGAGTTTTAGGACAATTTGTAATAAGTTGCATTACCT